AGGACGTTGCTAAACATCCTATAATGCACAGGACAGTCCCTGACAACAAAGAGTTATCCATCCCAGTAGTGCCAAGCTTGAGAAACTCAGCTGTAGGGTTTACTAAATACATCCCTAGCATAACTGTTTCCTTCAAATAATAGTATATCATGTCATGTATAATCTAAGGAACTTCGAGCAGTATCATTTCAATCCCTCCTTCCTATCTTGCTAATGTTGTCATATACTACCAGCTGTATGATACTGAGCACTTAGCCAATCTACCTCTCTAAGGCTCAATTTTCTTCATGACAAAATTGGGAATATCTACCTTATAGGCATTGTGTGAGAATTAAAATAATGTAGGGAAAGTGCATAGAACTGTGCCTTTACACTGTGGGTGCCTGATAACGGTATTATGATTACTATTAATGTAAACGATTTTAATTGACTTGAAATGATGACGGAACAGATGGACTAAAGGCCCTAGGTACATTCCGAAATCACTAGCACCTGGAGAGAAACCCAAGCGCCTTGCATCCACACACGGTTACCTCTCCTTCAAATGCCTCTCTTGTACCTCCACCTCCAGAATGACGATGACACTGCACTGGCTAGCCAGGTCTAACTCAGAAGAGAATTCCAAGAATCTTCTGGCCTCTGATACATAACCCCTTTTATTTACCTATGTTTAACTGAAGACATCTGTAAGTGGTGCCACACAAAACGTAATTCAGACTTAGAAATGTCAATAAAAATGTCAGTAAGGGAGGGGTCTGGTGTAAAGCACAGGGGGGTGGACATCAACAGCACAGAGCCGCACAAAATCAGGAACAGAATGGAAATATGCTGCCTGACTTGACGAGGTGATAAAAGCTCTTTTCCCATAAAGCTTAAGAGCTCTATTAGTCTTGAACTTACAGGAATGTAAAAGGGTCAGCCCCACAGAGAGTAACCAACTCTCCACACATGGCTCCATTCAAATGACAACATATCAAATTACTGATGTAATTACTATACCCGACAATTTCATTAGATTCATGTGGCAGTTAACTATTTAGGACTTACAACAAAGGGACATGGCTCATTCATAGTAGTTTTTGTGGACAAAATGAAATTTAGAGGCTCCTTCATTTTCAAATGCAAGTCTCATGTATTTTATGATCTCTACCAGAATTACTGTTCCTTTATTCAAAATTAGGGAAGGTGTTTGGATATTTACCATACCTGTAATTTTCCTTCTCCAGCTAAAATATAACCTTAGCAGCAAATTTCAATATTGAGAGACTGATGCAGTTACCCAACATTCTCCCGCCTTGGCTTTGCTTCAGCTCCCAGCTCGGCGCTCCAGGGGGGAGTTTTGCGGGCACCCACCATTAGCTAAGCCATCACGTGGTCACCGTGAAATTTCAGGCTAGAAAAATATCAACAGAAAGCTCTCAAACTATTTCCCACCAAGAAAAGAGAAGCACCTTGGTCATCCCTAATTTTGATTTCGTTTCCTCCCCTATGTCCATAAGCTTAGTAAGAAAAAAGATCAATTTAGCCAAGGTTAAATACAACTCCGGATCATTAAACAGGGAAAGCGGATCAGGCAGAAAATGACAGACACTATCACTAAACTTTGATCATGACACTTTCCCTTCTATTTTCCACCAAAGAGTAAGGTTTCCACACATATATCCCAATATTTAAGCAGAGTAGTAAGATGTAATTCAAAAAAATATTTGTTTGGCCTCTGTAAAAAAATGGCATGGTAGTGTCAGACCTTGTCATCTAACTTCATGAGGGGGGAGGAGAATCACCATCAACATTCCCAAGGCTGATTCCTATGAGACATACCTCCTCTGTCCAAACTTTTTACCAATATTAACACCAGCCGTCCCTCTCATGGCACTCTACACCTCTCTGCTGCATTCGATAATTTGTTGCAATGGACACCCAGAACTCACAGCCCATACTCACAGTCAACTGGTTTATTAAGGAAGTAACAGGGGTCAACTCAGGATCAGGATCAACAGGCTACAACTTGCATCCAGATCAGGAAGCACGTAGGCAAAGTTTCCTTTTTAAGCGCAGGACACCTCTCTTAGCTCCTCTCGGCCACGCAGGGCTCCTCTCGCCCCCCACTCAGGACAGGCTCTCTCTTAGCCCTCGGCCTCTTGGCCCCTTGGCCTCTGCCCTGCTAGGGCAAGTGTTAAAGAAGCTCTTTAGCTCCGCCAATAAGTACCCAGAGGCACCCCACTCTGCCAGCAAGCCTCAGGCCCGAAAATACTCAGCTCTCTAGCTCCGTGGGCTGGCACACCCACTGTCGATGCCTTGCTCCGTGAGCTGGGTAGCCCACTACACCATCTTGCACCAGTTTCCTGGTTCTGTTGCCACCATTTCTCCGCCACTTGTCTCATCATCTCACGCCATCTCTGGTTTTACAGCTGTCTCTTTCTGTCTCCTGAGTCTAAGAGGTTCTCAGCGCAGGGACCCCGGGTCCAAAGGACACACTCTGCTCCTGGCTCGTCTTCTGATGGTAGTGAGATCCTTTCTCTGCCCTGGGACTGACTCTCTTTTAAGTCTTGTAGGATGGCAAAACTGACCAATCCCCTTGTTGGGGTTCCATATACCTTATTTGCATGGTCCCACCCCCAAGAGGGTTCCATGTACCTTATTTGCATTATTAGCAATGCTGTCCAATCCCCTTGGTAGGCCACATGGTCCCAATGATTTTGTTGGTGTCACAAAAGAGCCATACACAGTAATTCACTGCACAGCAGCTACTATAGGTGCCAAGCCCTATCTATAACTGAGAGATCCAAAGATGGAAAAGACAACAATTCTGTTCTTAAAGAGCTACAATCAAGCTGGGAAGACAGACTGTTAACTACATCAAAATATAAATGTCAGACCTTGTCTGCTTTTAGCTTAGTCCTGTCAAATTATGGGTAAAAGCCTGCTACTCTCAGCCTCATCCAGTTCATTTATTCCTTTGTTTGTTCATTCATTCATTCTACAAATATTTTTTTGGTGCCTCTTATGTACCAGTTATTATAGTAAGAACAGAAACACAAGGCCACAAGAAAAACAGGGATCTTTCTCACTGAGCTTACATTTGAAAGACGTCTATCACTGTGTTCTACTAGAAGCATCTTTAGTTAGCATTATCTTCAAACAGCCCACTGCTACTTGCCCCAATGAACAGACAACAGGTTCCTGTCTCATTACTCTCTGCACAGGTAAGCCAACCCAGTCTACCTGCCTTCTGCTGAACACCCTTATTCCTGGTCACTCCTCTAAGCTCTTGCTGGAACAAGAGTCCAGCCTTAAATACTATCAGCATTATCTCTTCATCTAAGTTCCTACCAGCTCTTTTGTCTTCAGGGCTAGACCCTGTTACTACATCAAACGAGAGACTGCCCAGCTGGAAATCTGTATTTGTTGCCTATGGCTACAGTAACATATTATCACAAACTTTGTGGCTTAAAACAGTAAGAATTTATTCTCTCACAGTTCTGGAGGCTAGAAGTCTGAAATCAAGGTGTCAACGGGGCCATGCTGCCTCTGACGGCTCTAAGGAATTTTCCCTCATCTTGTCCAGCTTCTGGTGGCCCCAGGAGTCCCCTGGCTTGTGGCAGCATCACTCCAATCTCTGCCTCCATCTTCATATGGTCTCTGTGTCTCCGCTCTCTGTGTATCTCTTTTCTTCTTATAAGGACATCAGTCACTGGATTTAGAACCCATCCAAAATCCAGGATGATTTTAGCTCAAGTTACCTTAACTAATTACATCTGCAAAGGTCCTATTTCCAAAAAATGTCACATTCTGAGGTTCCACGTGGACATGAATTCTAAGGGGACACTATTCATAACATGACAACATCCCAGTCAAACTCCTAATTCCAAGAGCCATCATCAAAAATGCTCCAGTGTCCCCAGAAACCCTTATAACTTGGTACTGAAGTCACTCCTGAGGTTTACCCTTCAACCAAAGATTAGAAAGGCCCATAAAACAAATAATACATGCAGCTCAACCATTTATATGAGACTAAATGGGTGTACCAGCCTGGGAGCAAGGACAAGAAGGCAGGAGGGGACAGGAAAGTTGGATGAATGGAAATGGGGAACCCAAGATCAAGAAGGGGAGAGTGTTGACACATCATGGGGTTGGCAACCAATGTCACAAAACAATATGTGTATTAATTGTTTCATGAGAAACTAATGTGCTCTGTAAAACTTCACCTAAAGCACAATTTTTTAAAAAAAAAAAGCTCCAATGTATCTCCTTCCGCATTGTGGCTCCTTCACAGAAGAGCAAAATTGTGTATCATTGTTGCTATGAGTTGGAATCGACTTGACAGTAACAGGTTTCGTTTCTCAAAGGGGATGGCTGTTCTAAATTGCAGCTCACAATGCTATCTCATTCTCTGGACATCTAGTAGTTTTCCTTTATCTCACAATTTTACCACTGCATTCTCTGTTCCACACTGCAGAACCATGATGAGGATTAAATGAGAAAGCGAATAAAGCACCTGGAGTAGTACCTATGCTATAACAGGAGTGTGATACATGCTATGTTCTTTGCTCTTCCCTAACCAATCTATGGGTTTTAAAACAGTCTCCCCAACCAACAGAAACTTCCTTGATGACAGCCTCCGCCTGTGACTTCTCCAGCTCTCTTTTAACACCAGTTTAGTTTATAGATAATATGGCTGATTTACATAAACAGTTACAGGAGTGATGGAGATACAACAAGGCTGTTTAAAATGAAAGACTGATTTCTCTCTAATTATTGAAAAAGAAAATGTAATTAAAAAACACTACAGGAAATGAAAGTTCCTACAAAACCCTAATATCTGTAACTTACAAAAATATTCATCAAAAAGTCGGCATCCATCCATTCGTGTTATTAAAGAACACGTGAGTCCATCAAAATGATCACTCCTAAATTCTCAAATAAATGCCTAACAAAAGATACCAATAATGACATTCAATCAGTAATTCTAGTATTAAGGTCAGTGAGGAAGTGCTTACCTCCAAAGGTGAGCTGCAAAGGAATCTTGTGAACTTCAGAGTTGAATTTGAATAGAATCAATTTCACCCAAGAAATGGGCAGCCAAAGAGAACAGAAAACAGAAAATTATTATACAGTCTTCCAATAAGAACACCTAAAAGTAAACCTAAAAGTCCATATAAAATTAATCTTTTCATACATTATATAATTCATCCGCAGAGTACAGAAAGGTTCAGCCTAGTCCATATTAGGTACTCAACTGTTTGAATTAAACAAACATTTTAAAAATGTGTATGAAAGCAAATAAGATACCACAAATTAGTCCTAAATATTTCATTCTTTTTAGTTTTATCTCATAATCCCTACCTCATAAAACACCCTCCAAGGGAGGAATCAATATTTTCCTGATCCTAAATGTCACGGGCAAAGTTTAGTAAATGCCAAGAGATAAACCAGTGGGGGAACTAAGAAAAGGGAGAAATAAAAAAGTCAGGACCCAGTGAGGAGGCTGCGTGAGTGAGAGGAACGAAAGGGGAAGCTGAATCCATAATTCCACCTATGCTACAATTCGGCACTTGGGCCCTGATGTTCACCCTGTCCCACCCTCTTTTCCTCACTCCTATATGCGTATTTTGTTTTTGCTCCCCATAAGCACCTACAGGCTCATGGAATGTCATCTGAAACTCAGTGTCATACGTTGCCTATTTCTTAGTTTTTAAATAAAGAAATATGAATTTTTTCTTGGGAGGCGCATGAACAAATGACAAAGCAAACTATAGCTCAGCCCTGCTATGAGGACTGTCACCTAACTTCATACATAATCCATGATGATAACTCCTAATGTTTCCTTCTTCCACATTATTTACAGAATCAGCATTTCAAATCCTCCAAGATTTACTGTAATAATAAAATACCCCAGCAGTAAAAACTCTCGACCTTTCTAAATGCAAATTAACTACAATAAAATACAATGCTGAGGACTATTTCCAAGCACTCTTGAACTTCCTCTTCGCAACAAAGCTAGCGTGTACACACATTCAGATACACATTGAAATATCTACCATTGAAATCATGATGTCTGGGCTGTCCTTGAAAATCACCTGGGGGAAGAGTAATAGAAGGGAGCGCAGAGATAAAACAAGACTGGCCATGATATCAAAACTAGCGCTGACAGGAGATGAAAATAATGACCCTAGGCACCAAACAACAACATTACAGGGTTCTCTCTATTTTATGAATGTTTCGTTTACAAAATATATCAGATACCCCCCCAAAAAGCAAATGCATTCCTAAAAGAATACCATTCCTGCATGCCAAAGCCATGCAATTAACTAACAACATTCAGGGCCTAGATGATAAGGTGTTTTAAAATCAAGACTATACGAATTTTTTCTAAATTTAAATTACATCAATAAGCAGTTAAATGATATCAACTGTTAAGAGAACTTTCTGAAAGTGCAAGTTATACCAAAATATTAGATTTTCATAATGCTGATATGACACAAAAGATTCTACTGAAATTTAAAATGCAACCCTTGTGGTCTTCGATTCTTTTTATGATAGCCCCACATAGGACAATATCACCCTTCCTTCCAAGAGTAAAAAGCACTAATTCAAAGACTGGCCAATTTTAACAGTGGAGAAAAATGAGGCACAGGGAGTTTTTTATTTTAAAATGATAGAGTTGATTTCTTTAGGATGTTTATGCTTTTCCCCAGCATTGACATGTTAACTATATTATACATATTATAGTTTTGAATCTAGAAATAGTTCAAGCTCAGCAGTAACTGACATATCAATTAGGGTGGAAATTATTTTAAATAATAATAAAGAGAAGCATATAGAGCTTCTCCAAGAAAATTAGTGTCTCCTTGAAGCTCTAATAATCTACACACATCTTTGTTGTTTGTTGTATAACATTTGTGTATCACGGCTATTTCAAAACACACCTAAAAATTCCTGTCCTATTTGAAGCTGCCAAAATATGAAATACATAAATAACAGTTCTCCATCCCTAAAGCAGTAAAAACAGAATAACAAATCACAAGACACATTCACAGTCCTGTTCACAGGACATGAAAAAGATTTCAAAAAATGCTCCTTCTCTATTAGTGTATCAGAAAAACCCACTGCTATTTCACTTCAGTTCATTACTTGGTAAACATTTTCATAATGAAATTACACACATTACATTCAATCCAAATGGCAATACTCTGAAAAAGAAAAATCAGAAAAAACACATATGAATGCAAAACACACTTTGTATATATACTGAAATTTAACAGTAGAAATAGATGTCTTTTAACAAATACTACCATGATATCTGATCAGTATTAAATAAAAATATATGGCCACAGTTGATAGCCTACATTAATACCACTTTTCTAATACGGCGCTACTGTTCTATTCAGCAAGAAATATTGTGTAATGGCTATGGTTAATTGGTATAGAGAACGATCCTATTCTACACATTTAGGTATAATATTAAGAAAGTAAAGACTTTCACATTTCACAAAATATCTTACAGACAGGAATGTATGTCACCATTTCAGAAACTGGAGGTAATCATAGCCATATTCATTGTCTTTCTATATATGTATCTTAAAGACTACTTCTAGGAGGTATCTCTTCCAGGCCGCCTCTGAACAGCACCAGATCAGCGGTCAGAAAGTCAGTGCACTTTATAAACTGTCAAGTAGTGAACATCTTCTTTGCAAATGGACTCACATATGCTATGTTGCCTGCCTCTGCTGGCTTGGTAAACCACCTATTTCAGCAACTATAGATTTATAAAAGGATTCACAGTGTCTTTGGGATGCCCCTGCAGCTGGCCTTCCTTTAGGATCTGAGACAGTACAGTCGCAATGACCCATCATCAGTCAGGCGCCCTGCAGATGTTAACCCCCAAACCAGGAAGTGCTTTATCAATAGGGAAAAAAAGCACACACCCACTGTTAAGTCATCAACAACACTGAGAACATGTCATATGGTGAGTATCTGATACTACATTCAGCAATTGTTATCACAAAATGAATCAATAAATTCAGACTACAAGGATAGCATTATCTAACTTACTCTTTCGAAACACCATTCCTTTCCCTAAACCCTACCATCAAGTCAGTGTTTAAAAATAAAATGACCTAACACAAAAGCACTTGAAGATTCTTGGAAATGTGGGAGAGAGTATTATTAAATCAGTGGGATTCAATTTTTATGCCATGTAATAATGCATAAAAAGCACTTTATAGAGGTCTATTAAAGCAGGGTTCTACTTATAGCTTATGGATCTAATACAGATCAAAAAAGGAATATTACCTGATGGACTTGTCAACCTTTAACAGGTAAGTTTTTTAATACCAAAGGACAATATTAACAATATTATCAATTTGATTCACTTTATAAAATTCATAAAAATTTTAAATCGTTAATCTGTCATATCTTGAATCTTTTTAAAAAGCACAAGGACTATGATCTATGTTTAGAATCCAGGCATAAAAGGCATCAGTAAAAAAAAACAGTCAAACCCACTGCCGTCAATTCCAAAAGCACAGCAACCCTACAGGACAGAGTAGAACTGCCCCATAGGGATTCCAAGGAGCAGCCGGTAGATTCAAACTGCCAACCTTCTGGTTAGCAGCCTAGCTCTTAACCACTGAGTCACGAGGGCTCCAAAGGCATCAGTACTACTTGAAAATCTTTCAGGCCTCTAGAAAGAACAAGGATACACACACATCAGCGCTCTTATTCATAGCTACTTACTGATCTCGGTTCCCTTGAAGCACCCTCATGTACCACTCCTGGGCCCACGCTCTATTTTTCGCTAGTAGCCTGTCTCCTAGCCCTGTCTCATTCCTTCCAGAAGTCTGAAGTATTTTATACTCAATGTTTACCAAAATTCTCTAGTTTTCCAAGTGCACAAAATAGCAGTTAGACATCCCATCAGTTACAATTAGTAAATTCCTTTAGTTTCCTGTGGGAAAAACTGCTGCAAGCTTCACTTTTGTGGAATACTTGCCAAGAGACACTGAGGACAAAACCAGGAATCACTCAGATGGCAACAGGCTGAAAAAACTCCAACTGACCCTGAAGAATTAGGTGTCTTCCAAAGATCAGAAAGACATGAATTAGGGAGAAGCAGATACGACCCAAAAGGGAGAAACAAAAAATTAAACGGAAACAAGGCAGAATTGGTCTTAAAGGCCCTCTGGTCAAAGTGATAAGAAATGGAATATATTATCAGCAGATTCATTATCAGCAATTTTAATTTTTATGTACTTTTAACATTAATACAAGCCTATAAAAAGCAGCTTTTAGAAGTATCTTAAAATTAATTTGTTAGCTAAAATATGCAAGGACCACCCACGCCTTACCCATCCCTGCGTGCCCAGGATCTACCATAGTGAATGGAACATGCTAGAAATTAAACGAGTGATTGGAGAGAAAAATCATATTCCTCCACAGCCCAGGGGAAATAAATATGGAGACCATTCTAAGTATAAAATTCTGAGTTATTTCTAGGATACATAAACGCTAACAAATAAACATCAATATTTACAGACCTACACAAACATATTCCCTATTTTTACGTGTTCTTAAAGACAGAATTATGCTCTGGATAAATGATCATATATGTAATATGGCCATTTTACTTTTGTAACTAACTACTAACTAGAACAAAATCAACAGTTTTTTAATCATGTAATCAGTTACCTAAAGTTATCTGGCATATAAAATGAATTACTACCGCAGAAACCCAAACTCCCCTTATTCAGACCAGTCATCAATAGCTAGTATTGTTCACTTGTCAAGTCATTACCAGGGGGTCATAAAACTTGATGCTCCTCAGGTTTAATGGAAAAAACAGACCTAAAATACAAAAGCTGAAGACAAACTGCACTCACAGCGAGATTATTCCTATCACATGACCTCGGCACTCACCAAAATGTGCTTAACTCGTTGTGGGCGAACTGCTCAACATTCTCACTCAGGAAATTAAAAGCAGCTCTTACTTATTATAGTAGGACAACTGTCAAGAGCTTTTGACATCATTCAA